GACATAATGTAAAGATAAAATGTTTTCTTAGTTATGTGATGTTGTGATGAGTAGTTTTCACAACGTTTGTGGATCTTTGAGCTGTAGGGCCTCAGCTACTGCACTGTGTACCATGCTGGTGTTTGTTTGGACATTAACTATATGTCTGGGTATCTTCCCGTGACCCCTCTTCCTCCCAGCACACACAGACTCTCCCTTGGTGAGTGCTATGCAAAGGACAATTTGTTACTCTCACTTAATTAACATGGGCATTTCTCAGCAACCAACTTCATTGTCTTTCATCACACTTGCATCTCTGCTGTCCTTATTACAGTTTTTTAAAGGGCTTTCACAACTTATGTGAGTTCTGCACCAATATAGCAACCAATTTAGTGGGACTGAATGGGTGCAAATTTTCATTTATCTAATTCCTCCTTTTTCTTTATCTGTGGATGGCTGAGGCTGGAGAGGAACCCAGTTTTTCATGGCAATCTGCATTAGCCCTGCAGAGATGAACAGTTGTTTACAAAATGGTCAAGATAGACGCCATGCACTGTCACTGATAGATCAGCTAATCATGTCCTTTCTGCTTTCTGTTTCTCTGTCTCTTCTCTTTGTCTCCCTCCCTTTATGTCTTTGTTGGGTGTTGTCATTTCCCAGGTGCCTTGCAGATTGAAAACAGCGAGGAGACAGACCAGGGGAAGTACGAGTGCGTGGCGTCTAATGTGGAAGGCGTACGCTACTCGTCCCCTGCTAACCTTTATGTGCGAGGTAGGGAGCAACCCGGCGCCAGAGCCAGGCCAAAAAATAAAAACATCCGCAACTAAAATGCCTGCACAGTGCAGCTCAGCTATAAGTGGCATTACTGTTGAGCTTAACAAATGATAATTGCTTCCATTCTAGCCCAGCTATATTTTCACAAAATGTATTTTGCAAAATAGTATTTCCCGAGTAATATAAATATTTTAGCATTGATAGTATTGCCTGCCCATAAATGTAATTTCATATGCACTGAAACTTCCAAATGTAAAATTATAACTTACCAACTAATGTTCTTCTCTGTTATGATGTCATGCTCCATTTTGTCTTTCAATGCCCTCCCCTACTCACTCGGAAGGAATTGTGTAGCACAACAAGCCGTATGTCTTTATTTTATCGGTTGTAAGAAGACTTTTGCCTGTAATTGTGTGCCCGATAAAATGTTTCCCCTTCCATCAAAGTTATGGAACCCATAAAGAGTCAGAAAGGATTTCTTTTTGATTAGTTTTTTTTCAGGTACAGGAGCACAACGGTAAGTCTTGATTTTGATTGAGTGGTGAGGTATTAAAGCCCACTGATCAAAATCGTAACCCATTTTCTAGATTTGGAGAGTAAAAGGATTTTCATGTGGTGAATTAAAGGTAACAGACTGTTAACACAGTCAGCTTACATAAAAAAATGTTCTATCGCATAGATTAAAAATAGCACACTTCGTCCACTTTTTCTTTATGGTGTTCTGGAGCATAAATCCATTGTATTCCCCTGTTTCTGCTCTGGGGTATTATCCTTAAAGCCTTTTACAGTCAGCAGTCATTTTGGCTGGCATGTTCCAGCAAAGTGAAGATATGAAAAACCATCAGTCACAAGCTATGTTGAGTTTCTATGTTGAGGAAACAAGCAATGAAGACAAAAGCCTACCATCTACCACTTATGCTAAATGACAATGAATCCCTGTTGAGGGAGCTAAATTGAAGCAGATGTATTTTCAACATATATTATTTTTATTGTACACATTAAATAAAGATGCCTCAGTATCTACAGTTTTTTCCTTCTGCTGTGTACCAAATAACTTTGTTCCCAATAAATAATTCAGTACTCTGAATTATAAAATGGGTCAGGGAGCTGCTTTTTCATTATTATTGCCATTATCATACCCTGTGAAGTAGCAGCATAGGGAAGAAAAATCCAACTGTGCGGAGCAGACAGCCCAAAAAAAAAAAAAGCAGTTTAAGATTAGTGTTTATTCTTGACAGAATTCATCCTGGATGCTTTCTCCACTGTGATGCGGTAATGTCAAGTAGCTATCAACCTGTACAGTGTTGTAGAAATGACTAGTTTTGTGGTAGATTACAATTAAGAGCTCTACGGGAATGATTAAATAACAATAATGGGAACACAGTGACACAGCACTGGGATGATTAGTAGTTTCTTTGGTTAAAAAAACAAAAAACCCACAGTTATACTCTGATATCATCTTCAACAATTCATACAATCTCCATGAACACTGGCTCCATCAGCATGCTTTTAAAAGAGTACACAAGGGTCATAATTACTCAAGTGCTTTCACACTATGTAACACACTTGTTATGCCTTGATGGTGTCAACCTTTGTCTGTTTTCAGTTAACTTTTGTCAATCAATTCTGATACTTGATGTTGACTATGTTTTGTTCACAAAGCAAAATGCATTTGAGATTAGCAGCTGTGGTAGGGATCCATTTTCAGGGAAAACTACATTAAAAAACAACCCTAAATTGTATCTGGGTCAAACTATACTAGGGCACACTGAGACTACTGCCCAATCAGAAACCGTAATGACAATGCTACTGATTGGTTTCCAAGAACATTGTTAACTGTCTTAAACTGCAGCTGCTAATTTCAGCCCAAACGGTGTCTTTTTCTTTTCTCTCTCATTAGTTTTTCTTTATTTTCTTTTTATTTGTTTTTCTTCTCTAACAAAAGCAATTACGGCCACCACAGGAGCCTCTCCTTGTGGCTATAAGGAGCTTGTGAAATTTTGAAGAATGAGCATAGTACGCTTGATTTGACTCCAGTGGCGCCTCACTTTTTTTCTTACCAGGCGACAGTGTGGCCACTGGGGTGAATCTGATTGTTTTGGTTCAAAGTTTATTTAAGGGTGGGCAGGCAAGTGTACTTTCAAGACGGGTGTCACTGATAGCATGGACAAGGGAAAGGGACGAGAAAAGAGATTAAAGAAAAGGGAAATGTAGCTGCAGCTAAACACCTTGAGGTGGCTTTTTTTACTCTCTCTGTGTTTCCCCTATTTTTCTCTTCTCCTCATGTCATTGTGTTCTGCATCAACCCCTTTACATCCCTCAGAGCTTCGAGAAGGTTGGTGTGTTTTTTCTTTTTTACTTTTTTTAACCCACATTTGAAAAAAAAATTTCTTTGCCTATTACAGAGCTCAAATCATTACTAATTTGAAGAAATACTAATCAGTTAATTCAAACTGCTAAATGACTATGAAAGAAAATTTTTCTTTATTTCCAAGGAAGAAATGATGAAAGCAGACCCGATTAGCTCGGGTCCTGTTAATTTACTTTTATGTTTGCATTGTGGGGCCTTTTCTTGTTTTGCATCCTTTGGTATTGCTTCTGCACCTAAAAGCTTTCTTGCACGTGTTGACATGGAAACCCAGCACGTGGAAATAACAAGACCTGTTGCATGATGGGAGAATGTAACTGTGCTTGCATGCCTGTACAGAATCCCTTTGGCTGTGATGGTCTTTTTCTTTCTGCATTCCCTGCATTTTGTTCAATAGTTTACTTCTCTTTCTTTGGTTTCCCTTCAAGTGTTTTACCCTGTTCAACGATTCCTTTTTGCTTTCCTTTATTTAGTTAATCTTTTCTGTTTTGATTGTGGTGTTGTTGTTTTTGTTTTCCTTTTTTCAGTCTTGTTCCTGAACTTACTTTCATTTTGAAAATGTTTGTCTTTTTGTGGTTAAGTCGTTTGTGAGAGTTGTGTTTCTTTTTTAAAAACGATGCTGCTCTGCTTCTTGAGTCTCGGAGTGCAAATGCCGAATGAAATGATAACTGTGTATCCAGCCAGTGTTTCTGTCATCTTGTTTATAACAATCCATTAGTGAAAAATTAGACCTGATTGGGACTGATTGGATTCCATGGTGATTCAGGCAGACATTAAGGGATGCCATTTACAGTGTCATGTGGATCAATAACAATATAATGACTTCGGCATCACATTTACTTTTGCTTAGCGGGTGCTCAAACATAGTTTTATTTTCGAATGGCAACAGCTAGATATCATTGGTTTTGTTGAGTGACTGCTGTTTGTGTTCTCTCACAGTCATGACATGCAATCAAATTTGAATCTGTTATTCAAAAGCCTTTTTCCCCTCATTTGAAATATGCTCATAAATGTGTGGAGTTTTTTTTTTTAGGTTGCCATGACTAAAATAATGACAATTGTCAAATTTAACTTTAACAAGTTCACAATAATTTGCCTTTTTAATAATTTATTTTGTAGCTCTGTAACAATGTTGAGAAGAAGCTACTAAATGAACTGGAGGTCAGTGCAAACGGCATTCACTGATTTGTGTTTCAACTGGCTTTGTACCAACTTCCCCTAATCTCTTGAGATGTTTCACCTAAATGTTAGCACTAAATGTACACCAGGTTTCTCAAGACATAGAAAACTGAATCAGATCTAGTGACCTTGCCTGTAAATGTTATGGCTATGGACTGCCCTGGTAGCTGAATGGGTACAAGGCATGCCACATAAACACAATGTCCTTGATATAATTCAAACTGGGGACTTTTGTTGCCTGTCATGTACCTCTCGCTCTTCATGTTTCCTTTCTGCCCACCAGTCCACATAAAATCCAGAACCATTTTTGACTAGGGGCACTACATTTGGCTCAACAACTCTGGGTAGATCAGGTATATCATTCTTTCAGATAGAAGAGCTAACAGACTGTCTCCCTATCAGTCTCCTTTGGTATGTTTGACTGTCAAAGTGTGATGAGCTCCATGGGATTAGACTGATCTCTATAAACTATCAGTAACGCGTATTGAAAATAACTACAGCTCCAGCGGAAAACAAATTGTCATGCTATGGTAACCAGGGGTACACATTCTTTTCTCTGCAACACCCAGAATCTGCCCATTTTAACCAAAGTAAATGGCAACTGGAGTCCCAAGTATATTTTGCTTAAGACCACTCTGACTGGTCACTGAGCAGACTAGGGTTAAGGGCCTTGCTCAGGTACACCACAGTGGTGTGAGTGTCCTGCCAATCCAGGTATTGAAATGGCAACCTTTCAATCATAAACTCCAAATATTTAATGATAGTCAATGCTTGATAGGTTACTCAAACCTCCATGGGCTCAATGCCATTTCTTTCCATTGAACCAGCCTCTGATTTAGCAGCTATCCCAGGCATAACTGAGGATTTGAGTTCCAGCATCTCTCCAAATGGCTGTCAAAATATGTTATATCAATAACTGAGATAGTAGAGGCTGTGAAAACAACAATCTGTCCTTGCTGCGCTCCATAAAATGATATCTCCAAAGTCCACAACCTCACTGAAAACCCAACAATGTTTACATTTGTTTCTTGTATGTAATTCTAAGTCCTACTGTGTAGATAACACAGAGGCAGAAAGACTGTGCTGCGATGTGCGCATGTGCATGTTTGCCCTCCTACAATGGTGCCTGATTTTGAATGTGCTTGCATGTACTGCTATGCATTTGTGTGTAACGTTGGGAAAGAAAGCTAGATTACACCTTAAGTTCTCACTGGCCAAAGCAAAATTGTGCCATCTCTATTAGATGTTTGTCTCAAGGAGTCCTTAAAATTCAAGTTAATAGCCACCCCTCAACAAATGATATTGATGTCAAAAGTACATCTGATGTTCATACAAAACAAACTTTCATTACCTCTTGTTCTAATGCAAATACATGAGTACACTCATCTTCCCAACCCAACCGATATTCACTGAAGGGATCAACACAGTGAGGGTACATACTTAAAGTATCATTGGACTGCATGTCATCTACCTGTGATGAGACAATAGAAAAAAGTGATATAATCTTAAATCCCCTCAATTCATTGCTTGCTATTATTAGATACCCCTGCCATGTTTTCTGTCACTTTCCTTTAGGTAATAATTTCCATTTTGATGAGCTACCCATAGCGACTGTTTTGCATTGGCGCAGCCAGGGTATGTTAATACAGGCCAACCCCTGTGGCTTATATGTAAATGCCGAAGGCCTCACCCAGCAAGTGTAACTAAAGGATCTCCATATTGCGCCTGTGTCCTCAGGCAGCAAGAGGGTGTAATCTCAGCTTCAAGGTGACACTAAAGGCTGCACATTATTTTGGCTTCCCCTTCATTTTGGGGCAGCAAAAACTGCCTCACCAAAATGGCCAATAATGTCCACCTTCTGACCTCTGTTTTTTTTTTTGGCACAAATCCCTCCACAACACCGCCCACTGTTAAGAGTTAGTGCAGTACTCTGGCGTTCTCTCTCGACTGCTTTTCACCTCGTCCACTGTAAGGCTTCTTGTCTTTCTCTCCACATTGGGGCTTGAAACAAGATTACCTGTTGTTAGTAGTCTAAATGAAAGGTATATGTTTGATTTATCTTCTCTCGATTCCAAATGGGCCGGCTGGGCTCCTGGTCTCTGTGAATGAGGAGCCTGTCCATGCAATTGGGATTCTTTATTTTCTTTCATTTGCACTACATAAGGTAGGATAGGAGAGGGTGCCACACACTCCTACACCGCTATGAGAGCTTACCTGACCATAAACATGACAGAGTTACACAGTCCATTTGAACACCCAGTCATATCATATAGGCTTGTGTCTAGTAAATGATAGTGCTGTGACTTATTTGCATGTGAAAACAGTATTTTGATGCACAGTTAATGTTGTTCCCAAAGTGTCTTCTGCTAATTATTCATTCTTCTTCCAAGATACAATATAATGCGCTTTAGTATCAACTGACCTTGAGCTCTTGATATCCTGGCCAAATGTATTTACTATTATGTGTCAGAAACATGGTGCATGCTGTTGACTGGTAGACTACCCCCCCAGCCCTCTTTGTTTTGTTTTTTTCAAATTGCAGAGTGTAGACTTTACTGCCCCAGTAGAAAGTCTTTATTCAAAGAACTTACTGTGTATTAGCTTAGTAATTTGGATATTTCAAATTTCACTGGCTAGCCACAGACCAAAGTTACCAGCTTTTGAAGAATGGCTGGTTTTAGCTCCCACGTTGTCCTGACAGTGTCGGTACTCAAATCTGACCAGATAAACCTTCCTGTGGGGAAACCTCATTCACTCAGCCACTACAGCTCCCGGTCCATTGGCTGACCTGAGCCCCAGGGAGAGAAGAGCACCATCAGACACACTTGAATGTTTCCCCTATAAAACAGACCTTGTTCACCCTTTTCACTTTTCACCATTCTTTGGGATTGGAGGCAAAATAGCAGAGACAAATCATAGCTGAAAAACATCTAATAGTACTGATGCATACCACTTTGTTGAACACAGCTGCACTCTGGTGCTGTCTATATGCTGTTTGGACTCTTTTTGTGGATTTGTTCAATTTGTTTCCTTTCATTTGATTTTGTGTGTATGTGTGTCTGGAACACTGCTATATTTTGGGAATGAATGGCATGCTTGGATGGGCTTGGGTGACATTTTTGGATTGTAGTGGTTCTCTGGTGTCCGCCCAAGTGGATGGGGGCGCACCCGTATATGTCACTCATGCCATAGCCACACCCATGCATGTCTGTGTGAGGAATGGGCTGCCCTTTCACCTTTGTTGTTGAGTGAGACATTTTTTGAAAAATTAGAACGCAAAGATATATCTTCTCTCCCTATGTGATGGGCCTTTTATCTTTTATCAACTTTTTTTTTTTTTGATCTCTCACTTGGACTTCATGACTGTGTAATAATTGTCATGATGAGACAAAGCACAATATCTCTACTGAAAGGTCACACATTGTTTAATGAAAATTTTTTTGTGTCAGGTCAGTAGAGAATAGGCCCTTTTAAACAGTTTGCTTGTAACTCACACCTTTCTTGTTGGCACGGGGGTTAACAACAGTATAGGTGAATTTAGCAGTTTATTAGCACAGATAGTCTTTAAATTTGCTATTGACTATCTCTCTATGCTTTCATAATTTTTGTGCCCCCACAAATAAGCACTTCTTCAAATATCAGCAATGAACTCTTTGCCCTCAAAGTCAGGTTGCATATTTCCCAAGGTAGTAACATAGCTGACATTACCAGTGAATTAAAGGAATTAGAGGATGCATGTAGAGTATTTCAGAGGAGGACAAATCAAAAGGCTAACACTGGATACAGAAGGTCTCCATCTTGGTTGTATTTAATACTATATAATTGGCATTTACTGTTGGTTTTTGTCATATTTTTACATGTAAATGTTTAGATATTGTACATAGTGCTTGTTTGCTTTTATGAACCAAAAGGTTTTAGCACTACAGCTTACATGTCAGCATACTATATGTACATTTTAGTATTCATTTAAGTTCTCAGGTCAGTACAGGTAAATTCCCCTTCACGTGTGCAGGTGAAATTTGTGCCCTTAGTTTGTTGGAAAAGTCAAGCCATCCCATGCAACGATCAAATGAATCCCATTTGGATCGACACGGTGTATTTTGGAATGCTGTCTATCCTTGATGCCCCTCTAAATCTCCCATCCTTCACCTCCCACCCTCCCGAATCTTCACCTAGAACCCCCCCCCACACACACACACACACACACACATATCACATCTGCCCAACCCAAGACTTCCCAAGTTACATTTGCATTGAGATGCAATGTTTAAAGTGGGAAGGAGGGAACATGTAGTTGATTCTTGATTTTAAGCCCCAGTGTGTGAGATCTCCAAAATCACTTTGAGCCATGGTCTTTTTTGTTTGTTTGTTTGTTTTAATTTAGAATCACAGTCTCCTTATTCTATCCCCCACTTATGCCTTCCTGCTCCTCCTTCCCTTTCTCCAACAACCCAAACCCCTCCCCTTCCCTTTGCGTATTGTACAGTATGTCTGCGTTCCCATTCGTCACTGTCTGTCTGCCCGTCTCCCTCTGTCTGTGTTCTTGTCTGCTGTCTTGCTGCTTGAGTATGTTTTGTTCTGCCTCGTGTCTTGTCTCTTGTCCCTGTCTTTCCTGTCTTGTCTGTCTGTCTGTCTCTAAGTCATCTCTTCCATTTAATTTATCATTTTTACTTCTATATCTGCACAACTTTCCTTATCTCTCTTTGACCTTTGCATCCCAACAAACATTTAGATATTGAATAGGTGTAGATGCTGTGGATTGTTCTGGTGTTAAAACACTTTTTAAAACCAAGGTACACACAGGGGTTGTAGTTATCATTTATGTGAATTCAAGACCTGTTCAAAATAAGTTCAAAGCACTCTTAATATTAACTTTTTATTGTACCACAAGATAGTTTTTCTGGCTCAACATATGTTAATATCTAACCATTAGGTATATTAAATGTTTTTTTTTTTCTAAATTATGAATGTTGAAATTTGGTTTCAATATGGTTTAATTGCTCAGCTTTGCTTAGGCTTTAAGAACAAATACAAATTTCACACACTTTAGATTTGCACAGGAAGAGAAAACCCTTCATTATAAAACACAGAAATGTTGTGCTCGTTTAGTACTCACCTTGGCCACCTCTTATGTCAGTATCTGTCAAGTGCTTGCTGGGATGCCTCTCATGAACACACAGTGTTTTTGCTAACTCATAGTCTTTCACCCTCCAACTCTTGTATACTGTACACATGCACATTCATGCCTACGTATATCAATACAAAAATATATACAATACGTATGTACATGCACACTCACGTGAAATTACTCTGTACCTTTCATGCCCTTCTTCTGCATCTCAGACTCATCATCAACTTCTGTTCACTCTTTCAACTCCTATCCATGAGTTTTGAGGTCCTCCCTCTATTAGCTCTGATTCTGCACCTATTCACCTGCCTCTCTCTTTCCCATCCTGTCTGCCTCTCTTTCTTGTTCTCTGGATTTCTGCACCCTGTTGATCCAGCTCTGTTTCTTGACTCCAACACTCTGATAGTAGACTCTCTAGCTACAACTACTGTAGTTCTTTTTCTATGTATTTCTAGGCACACACCTTGTTCCTCAGTACTTATTTTGTGTTAACTGGGACCGCGATGTGACAATATGCCGCCATCACATTTTGTCACATTAGCTGAAGAAAAACAAAGTTTACACAGCATTGAAGCAGGTTACCCCCCCTTTACCCTCCTCCAAACCTTCCCCTTGCTTTTTTTCTTCCTCTGTCACTCTTTACTCCCCTGTTCCCTTTCTTTCTATCCTTTCCTCAGATGATCTATCCTCTGTCTTGTATTTCTTCTTTCCAATCGTCTTTTGTCTGGGCATGCTAGCGACCCTTCAGTTATATTCCTCTATGCATTTTATCTCAATTTTTATATCTGATTTTTCTTATCATTTACTCCTTAATTTACCTCGGTCTATTTATGCATGCTGTCTGTGAAACTGATAGCTGCATCTATCAATGGAACCGTGTCAGATCTTAATAAGGCTTTGTCCAGTGGATCTACCCTAAACCACAAAAATCTGATTAAAGTTTCTCATCTTTAAGATATCTAGGTAGTAGAGACAGGTGTCAAGTGCAAACTTGTGCTAGAATGTGTTTAGAGACCTTGTGGAGATGGTCAATAGCCCAGTAACCCTACACTTCCTGTGCTATGGGAGAAGCCTATATGGCCTACTTCCTGTGTGGCATGCGTGCCTTCGAGGACAGGAAGTTCCAGGTTGCCATGTTGGCCTTATGTGATAGCATTATCACATGGCCTTTACTACACACCTTCATACCCTGTTATCAGAATAATGCCATAGTTGTATATATGTCAGCAGCTCAGTTTCAAAGATGAGAAACTCATAATAGATTTTTGTGTCTTTAATTGTGCTGTGATGGGTCAAATATTGGTCAATGGAACCTTGTTGCTATGAATCGTTGCTTTATTGTTAATCTATATTGTTGTTGAAGCAGTTCTGTTAGTTTAGTTCTTTCTCATTATTTGTATATTTTTATGTTTTGAAAAGTCTACTTTTATTTTGTCTTTCAGTTCACATTTACCATATTGAACCTTTTGTGTTTTGTTTCTTTGAGAAGGGTCAATTTTCATCGGCCTCTCTTGTTACCTCTCTTTTTCTCTCTCTCTTCTTTTGACTCCCTTGCCCTCTTTTGTCATCCTCTCCCCTTCCTCATGCCTTCTCCCAGTCCGACGGGTGCCTCCTCGGTTCTCCATTCCACCCACAAGTCAGGAAATTATGCCTGGTGGCAGTGTGAACATAACGTGCGTGGCAGTGGGGTCACCCATGCCTTACGTCAAGTGGACGCTGAACTCAGAGGACTTGACACCAGAGGATGAAATGCCAGTGGGCAGGAATGTTCTCGAACTGAGCAGCGTTCGGGAATCGGCCAACTACACCTGTGTAGCCATGAGCAGCCTTGGCATCATTGAAGCTGTGGCACAGATCACTGTCAAATGTAAGAGATAACTGAGCTTGTGAAGCAGGGTACTTGAATTAGGACTGTAAACTTCATTTAAGTTTGAAATGTCCTGAAAATGACAATTACAAATGTATTGCTGTAATGTACTTCGGTCATTGTGAAGGAATTTCCAAGTTTTCTGTTTTTGCTACAGTAATTCACCATCATGATATTTGACTTCTTCCTTTATCCTTCCTGTTTTTTCACCATAATAGCTCTCCCCAAGCCTCCAGGTACCCCTGTGGTTACTGAAACAACTGCCACCAGTGTGACTATCACTTGGGACTCAGGCAACCCAGACCCTGTGACCCACTACATCATCCAGTATAGGGCTAAGTCCCCTGACAGCAAGTATGAGACAGTGGATGACATTACCACAACACGTTACAGCATTGGTGGCCTCTACCCCAACACAGAATATGAGATCCGAGTCTCAGCCGTCAATACAATTGGCCAGGGTCCTCCCAGTGAGCCAGTAGAAACCCGGACTGGAGAACAAGCCCCTGCTAGTCCACCACGAAATGTTCAGGCCCAGATCATTTCCCAAAACACCATGATGGTGCGTTGGGAGGAGCCAGAGGAGCCCAATGGGCAGATTAAGGGCTACCGTGTTTATTACACCATGGATGACTCCCAGCCCATGAGCCTCTGGCAGATCCATAATGTCCAGGACAGCATCATCACAACTATACAGAGCCTGGTTCCTCATGAGACATACACAATCAAAGTCCTAGCATTCACCTCTGTGGGAGATGGACCCTTCTCAGAACCTATTCATGTTAAAGTACTGCAAGGAGGTAAGGTTACGAAAGCCTTGTCAACTTGGTTACTGGTGTTGAGTCTTTGAACTTTTGTTTTTTATTATTATTTTGTTTAATTTCATTTCCATCAGATTTTGCATACAACAGGCATCTATAGAATCAGAATCTGCTTTATTGGCCAGTTGTGTCAGAGGAATTTGACTTGAATTTCAAGCTGTTAAGTATGACATCTGGTGAATGCTACATTTGCCTTGTGCTTAAAAAGATGATTTTGGCAGCCAATGAAGAATATCTTCAGATGTTTTTGTGCATCAGCCGCACATTTTCCTAAACTTTAAAAAGAATGTACCTGCTCCCAAAGAGACATGTTCTCTCTTCTGCTGGGCAAAGTTCATTTGCACATCTGCAGCTTCTGCAAATGATGACTTAGTATGTTTGACAGTCAGCAGTCTGAAATACAGCCATCATGGGAAAGAACCAACCTTTGAAGACTCACCAGCTTTTGAGATTAGCAAAATCACCCCATCTATGCACCTTTGTCAATGGGTCATGAACTTTTTGTGCTTCATTGTAGTGTATTATTTTCAGCTTAATTCGATCTAATCCTCAGTCATTTTCTAATGGATCTCATTATGCTCATCATGTTAGTATGTAGATAACAAAGATGCTATTTTATGAAGTAATAGCTGAGAAGAAAAAAAAATCTATGTCACATACCTTAGGGCTTTTTTACAATGAGAATTGGATGGTACTACTCCAAGGTTTATCATATTATTTCCCATATCTCATGCCATTTATAGTAACACATACTTGCAACAATCTTCTTTGTTGTGTTCATCAGTTCCAAGTCAGCCAGCCAAATTCCAGGTTGGTGCTGTGTCCGACACGAGCATTGAACTGACCTGGGAACCTGCCTATGACAAAGAAGGAATTATAAGTTATGAACTTCGTTACAAGGAAGGCGGTACCCAGGTAAGCATTTCAGTGTTTCATTTCAAATTCCTGTGCATTTTGCAATGAGAGATGTGCATCATCTCCTGCTGTACCAACATCAGGTTTATGTACAGATATTTTAAAGTAGACTTGTGTCAGTAACTGCTTTTCTCTGTCAAAAGATGAAGAAAATGTTTGGACCTACATCTTCATATGTTGTGGAAGGTCTCCGCCCAAACACAGACTACCTCTTCTCCCTGGCAGCCATCTCTAACAAAGGCATCGGCGCATTCACAAATGACATATCACAGAAGACCTTGCAATCCAGTATGTAGCCCTTCATTCAGTCTCTTTTCCTTTTGTAGATAGGCTGGCAATGTTCCCCAGGGATGCTGTTAAATGATTTCATGCCTTTGTGTATCATTACTAAACTGAATTCTTTTGAGGTTGTGTGTTTCTTCCCTTTGACACCTTTAAACAATGACTGTGTTTTTGTCAGACATAATCAGGGTTCAAAGCTGATTCAGAATTAATGAACTACATAACAAACAGACTTAATTGATTTGTTGTTAAATTCCTTCCTAAACATGTTTTAATAGTTACAATTTGATTTTGGTTTTGTTGACCTTAATGTAACAATATGACTATGGTGTTTTCTACCTTATGTTATGTCTCATTTACTGATTTTTTTTAAGGTTGAAAATAAGCCACAAATGGCTAGATTTTTTTTTTACAATCTTTTCATTTTAGAATTACCTTATTTTCAGTGCACCTAGCACTGTCAAACAAATCAAGTGTACATGGACTGACAATTTGGTAGTTTGCTTTGATATTTCCTTTTCACTTTTGTTCATATTTGATTTTCCTTTATCAATAGCAAGTGCACTTCCTTCCACATGACAGACACAAAAAATGATAGGTTTCCTCTAAGACCGCCAAGGCTCTCATATGAACTACATTCAAATTAGAGATGGGGAGATTGGGGTAGAGTTTACTCATCCGAAAAAAAAAAACTGTCAGCAGTCACCATAAGTACTGTCATGCCCATCCTTTGAATTTATCCTAGTACATCAGTTCTGTGCTGGTTATTTCATTTTACAGATGGCTTACACACAACTGAATTATTTAACCCACCCAGCTAGAAATAACAGGAGTGATATCATAGCACACAGTAGTGCAAGCTGTAGAACATACAGTAATCCAGTCACATAACCAGTAGTAGCTAATGGACTCTCAGAAGTGTAGAATTCATGTCTTCTGGGTTTACACAGCACACAAAGATTAACAGTGATGTTGTGCATTGATGTTTAATACAATAATTGTAAAGAACCTGGAAAATGTAGCTGGAATTATGGGATTAGGGATGGATCTGAACCAGACATTGTGGATCCTGACTGTACAGAATGTAGAAAGCCTTAGGCTAAAATACATGTATAGTATACATTCAGTGTCAGAGTGCCTACTTTTATTCTCAATAAATTGGCTGGGCTTCATTAGATTTTGTGAGCTTTAAACCCATTTTACTGAGACATAAGAGAGCCATGGCGGTGGAGATATTCTTCTTTTAACACATTTTCTGTTTCTACCAGTGCAACCTTTTGCCTGTACCCCCACATCTGGGCTGTGGGGGCTTTGGAACGACCACTTCACAGTTCCTTTTGTTATTGCTGGGCAGCAGAGCTACACAGACAGTGCAGAGTCACTGAGGAGGGCACCGGTTGCATGCAACACTCACTCCTGGAGGTGCTGTTGAGAACCTATCACTGCACTGTTGATCTCTGATCGGTCCAGGCATGAAAATACTTTGTTCATCCAGACCCATTTTTGTCTTGGCGTCTCTCCAGTGTCTGTGAACATCTTCACCTGTCTATATGTGTTTGTGATTTCCTTACCTCTGTTTTAGTATTTGTTCTTGAATGGTAAACCATAGGCTGACTGGATACACTCCTGTCTTCCTCTTACATCACCCTGCTCCAGCTCTATTTCTCTTTTTGTCACTTGTTCCCCAGTGCAATAGAACAAAAGCTTTCCTTGGAATGGCTTGACATCACCTTGCTCAATTTGTGTCCTCTTCCTTTTATGTTGAGTCAAAAAAAAAACACCACAGCCACAAGAAACTACAGAACTGAAGCGGAGCGACACTTAAACACAGCTCTGACAAATTTTTGCTCACTGATCAAATATGTGGGAGACTTAAATTTAACAGATGGCATCTCTCAAGTCTCTGCTTGAGACAAGGAACTCTTCATTTTCAACTACCTCATACATATAATTATAGTGGATAGAAAAGATAACCACTGGTTGATAATGGTACCAGACTGACAACCATAGAAATTTGATATTATTGTCCTAGAAATAAACAAAAACTGATTGAATAAATTGTGTAAATATTATGTCCAATGAAAGCTACTTTCCATGACAAGATTATCAAATATTCTATGGCTTTCATTTCAAGTTTAATCTCTTTGTTTACCTTTTCCATCCATTTTGCTTCTGTGGTTCCACCTGAGTACCTCATTGTTCCTGGTCTTACTCTTAATAAAAGTCCATATTTTTAATGCTTTTATTAAGAGTCCCTGTTCAAGCAGGTGTAAGATACATCTGTTGGTTTCTCACTGCTGAGTACTGAAAAATGACTAAATAAATTCCAGTCAAAGCAAAGGTTTTCCCACAACACAACAAAATAAATAACTTGATCTTTTGGATACTCTCAGGTAAGTGATTGTGTGGTTTAGGGATTCAGCCTATCATAACCTTGTTGAAGACCTGTCAGAGACATTTTAATCCAGTTAACCATTTTCATTTCCAATTAATCTTTTTTTCCTTCTGAGAACATCGACTGAGAATTGGAAAGATCAAGTAAGCAGTCGTTACACATGGTACAGTCAAATATTAAACTGACGCGTGTGCGGTCAGGCTGCTCATACAGGTCAGGAATAGAAGCATTAATATGTAGAGCTTGTATTAAGTGCCTTCATAGCTTAAGATAATGAAGACAGTTACATTTGTAATGTAAGTCTTTTAAGAAAACACCAGCAAAGAAAATTCCATGTGCATAGCTCACACACGTGTACAAAAACAGTGGTTTCAATTGTAAGGGTAATAACCATTTGTTTCATTATTAATAAAATATCCCACCTGAGCCTGATTTCTGAGTACCATACTATCACAATATATGTGGCTCACTCACAGTACACACACAGTAAGAAATCCCTTACACATACCTGTATACAGTAAAATAGTCCCACTCCCTACACTACACCATTAGAAGGAATATGTACTAGTTGCTTGACTGAACTAGACATTTATTTCAGTTGGGATTTGAATACTCTTCAGTGCATGGTAGACTGAAACCCTTTGCCACTGAGTGAAAAGAAAGTCAACTTGATATCCATGTTTGCTTTGTTGTTCGTTATCTGAGGTACAACATGTTTGCAGATTGTTGAAGTTTGTGCTTAGTTCAAGCAGCATCACCGGAGGCTTTTGTTCATGGGGACCACTCTGTCAAGAGCTCTTGAAAAGCTGCTGCTAATAATAATTCTCCTTGATCTCAATCTTTATTGGCACCGCAGTGACTGATGCTAAATAATTTCTCAAACCAAACAAAAAAAAAAATTAAAAATCACAAATCAGTATTACTGCAAACTGGAATAAACAGACATGATGTTAGTTGAAACAGTTGCCCTCATTCAGAAGCAAAGCCTCTTGGGGTGTGCTGCCATAGTCAGATCAGGTTGAGAAACTGTTTTTGTAAGTTCGTTCAGACATTGCTAAAGTGGGTCCACAGCCTGAGAGCTGGGAGGGCTACCGTTCCTCTGTTACAAAGTTGCAAAGCATGGCAACAGAACCTAAGGTAGACCTTAGGAGTGGGTGTTAGGGGACTGCATGGCCCCAGAGTGGTAGATAAGAATCCCATTTCATAGCATCAGAATTAATTTCATGCTTTGCAGTGAGCTACAAGCCAGGCCACTGGATAGTCAAGCTTTGTTACACATTTAGATTATACCTAGAACCTGCCAGCAACCAGCCAAGTGCTATCTCACAAATTAAAGTAGCACATTCCAAATCCTGTGTATTTAGCTAAACAAGCAGTTTAAAACCCCGCCCCCTATTCTCCACACTTACAGTAATTGCAGGAGGGTTTTAGATGTATTGGAATATTTGTGTGAGCCACAACATGGCCATTTGGCATCGGGGGGGATTAGCTCTGTAATGATCTACAAATGCAAACATCCTGTCATTCCAAGCTTTTCTGAAAATTTATTTCAAATACAGACATGTGCTTGTACTCTGATAGCAAAACCATTGGCAGTTGACAAAAAACAGTGAGTAATGGCCTGTGTAGCTAAACTGAAAGAATGTGTGCAATTTCTAGCCATTGTCAATGTTGCACTAAAATCACTTTTAATCTGAAGGTAATCAGAGTGATTTGGTATACCACCGTTATTTGGCATTGCAGACTTTATACCCAGAACTCCCAGTCATATCACAATAAATTTAAAAGTCAAAGAGAAGTATGTGAATGCAGACATGACAAATTATTTGTCAAATTGCATTTACAAAACTCTTTCAGAGAAGCTTCAAAAAAAAACCTCAAGTGAGGCATTAGCTGAATTTCTTCTTTTGTGGTTATATAGTTATAGAATCCGTAATCCTACCACAGGCCTTCATGGGATATGCACTTTATTAAGGCTGTGACCCAGCCATTCTTAAACTGTTATCAGGCATGAGGATGCCTGTGCACTGTGATAGCCCGGCCACTGTCAAATTCACAATATTTTTCTGAACCACAAAGATTGAGAACTGAGCGATCATTCTTGACGTGGAGAGTTTGCAAATACAATATGAGCAGAGGAAAGAAGCTGAAAGGCTCAAAATCCAGTAAGACCCTAAGTAAATAAGCCCATTGGACACAGAGAAGGCTTTGGGACTGTGGCTGAGGTCCTGTCCTATTTGTTGTGTGCTGGAACATTCGGGCTTCACCAGGAGGAGGCCTCTAATAGTCAGTCAGTATTTATTTATTTATTTACCTTTTTTAAGCTGTTCTACCCAAAGTGACACTGAAGTCAGAACACTATCATTAAACTTTTATGAATCTAGAAATATAAGCTTTCTATCTTGCAGTAAGCTTTATGAAAATACATAGGCACAGGGCTATGAAATGAGATTTATTTGAAAATAATGTTAACAAGAGAGGTTGTCTGTGTACCTGGCCGAGTTCAGAAAAACAGAATATCTTGCGAGTGGGGTTTCCCCCCCCCTACGGCCTCCCCTCTCACAGTCTTGTGGACCCTCCAGCCCAAAAGTACATGAGAAATAAACAGCCCTGGCTACAGCACTGAGCCAACGCTCACCCTCCCAATAACCCCACAATGGGTCTAAAACTCTTTCTAATTAAAAAATGGGACTGGATCTCAAAATTTCATACAAGCTTTCTGGGAGGGAAAGTGTTGCAGCTCACTGACTATAGAGTAAGCGTGCTCTGTAGTCAGGTGCTGGTGGTAAGAAAGTCTTTGAAATGTAGTATTTGTGGGAGTCAGGTACGTATGATGCAGACAATGCCTGTGATTTTTTTTAAGAAGTTAAAGGTTCTCATCTTCTGTTTATGTTCAGTATTGTTTTATTTTTCATATTTTTCCATTGGTTGTCATTTTGAATCTAACTGTTGTTGTGGTTCTTCCTTTCAAGTCACCTGGTTTACAGAGAAGTTCATTTCTCAGTACCCTCCTTTAGTTCATAATTTATTATTTCCTTTGTTTGGGAATGAGAACATAGTGTTTGTTTCCATGGGTTTCATTTGAGCCATTTAAGTTGCTGAGTGTGGAATGCTTTTATTTTTTTTTCTGATAATATTTCATTTTGTTTTTGATTGCTGTGCTGTTTTTACCTTACATAATAGATAGAAATGTAATAATGAACTGGGTTTGTCACACCAGAATCTAGGAAATATGTTTTAATACAGAACCATTGTAGGAAACAAAGGAAATTGAACTTGCATAGAGATATTTTCATACATGTCCTCTTATTTGTATAATACCAAAGTCTAGATAAGAAGTGAAACATTTCATCTCTGCTTGTGTTGAACAGCCTATGGACAAGCACAAGCTGTGTAAGCACTTGGCACAGATTAGAAGTGAGAGGGCCTGAGTTTGATTTACCTCCCTGATTATACCTATAATAAATAGCTTTTTTTAGCATGTGCAAAAGTTCCAGGACAAACTTACAGATGCTTTTCATTGGGTTGTTTAGTCATGTTCATTCAGGGTGACATGCTACCCAAAGCAAGACAGTGGCTGCCAGATATCTTGATCTAACAATGGAACTGACAGTGCACATCAACACTAAACATATTTTCAGCATTCATTTTATTTTTATGCTGGCTTAATGGACATGACAGTTTGTTAATAATCCTCACATGGTAGCAACATAAGCAAAGACCCCAAAGGGGGAACTTATTTAGGGGTTTGGTTGCCAGTGACTGTCATGTTTACCTGGTTGCTAGTTTAGAATACAGTAGGATATGTTTGTCCCTGTCCAACTGATATTTCATCATGAAACTAGTGATTATGAATAACAAAGTAATGGAATGTAAGATGATATGAGCAAGACAGTGTCATAAATTAGAGTACAGTGACTTGTAAGTAACAGCTTTTCCATGAAAAAGTCAGAACCATGCTAGGTTGATTTCTGTAGTGGCAGCAAGACATAAAACTATGACACTTTCAGTACCTCTTAATGCCAGGTATTTCCCTAGGGTGCCCATCTTGATTCATTATTACACAAGCCTATGCTACTGTCCATTTATGCCTCTTTTTTTGACATTTGCTTGATAATTTTATTTTTATTTTAAGCATATTTTGCTTGTGTCTTTGTTTTGCAATTTTTATTTGAATTATTCTTATTGCTTTAGTTTGAGTTTTGAGTTTTTCTTTTATCATTTTCTTTATCTCTCCCATCTTTTTTATTTTTTTGTCGTTCACCCCTGCCTTTCCCCTTCCCCAACCTCCTCATCCTCGACCCCCTTCCTTCCTGTCCTTTTCACCTCACCAGAGCCCTCAGCCCCCCCTCAAGACATTAAGTGCAGCAGCACCAGCTCCACCACCCTGCTGGTAAGTTGGCAGCCCCCACCTTTGAAGAGTCAGAACGGTGTCCTGGTGGGGTACAGGGTGCGCTACCATGTGGTGGGCCCATCAGAAGGCGGCAGTGATGATGGGGAACCCACGGAGGAGCCGACGGTGCCTGCCACTGAAGAGCAGGTGCTGCTGCAGCGACTGGAGAAGTGGACTCAGTACCGTGTCACTGTGTCAGCTTTCACTATGATTGGGCCAGGACCTGAGAGTGAACCCCTGATCTGCCGCACAGACGAAGATGGTACGTGACTCTTTAATGTGTAGAAGTTATTGCTTGTTAGTTTGACAGTGAGTGTGCCCTTGGCAGTGGGTGGTTATGTGTGTGAGCAACATGTTCATCATATAAACTTCCATTAGAAAAATGCAAAGACCATTCCAAATACACAAAAATGTGTCTTGTTGCATTGTTTCAGAAGCATACCAACACCCAGCGCATACAGCTGTGTATTGCAAATGAAACGCACTTAAATTGGATAACACACTTGGGAAATAAAACGTGTTGCTATTCAAACATAACTAACCAAATATAATTTGTAATAGCTACCACATCCCATATCCTGCCTCTATCTGTAGGCTTTTAACAGCACCCCATTGCTCAGCTGAGAGCCATAAACATTTATGAGTGTTGTGCACTGCAAAGCCATATCTTTCTGTGCATTTATTGCGGCAACAATAGGTTCAAGGTTAATGATGCAGGTGTGCATCCACTAAGGTTGCAGCACAAATCCCATGACTGGAAAATATAGGAAACAAAAAGAATTAATAAAAGAATTAATAACACCATTCCAATCTCTAATAATCACCACCTGTTGTGGTGCCCTTGAGCATTGTGGTCAGGCTGCAACTACAGAAACTAGTAGTGGGTGTCAGGAATTCAAACCATGGTGCTGCTAAGTTGACTTTACTGGAAGATGATAAAATGCTTGCTATTCACAAGTAGATTTTTGGTTCCATGCATTGGTGGTCATTTCTCTACATGTGCAATAGCTGTGCTCCAGTTTGGCACAAAAATAAAGGTTTTGTAAATTTAAAAAAATGCTTGCAAAACATCTCAACCTCAAAAGAACAAAAATACACCTTACACAGCTAAATTGTGTAGCAGAAATGACAAGGAAAGATGTAGCTGAACAACAGAATGTATAAACTAAAAAGTAAAGATGTGAACATGTCATGGCACATCTGCCTTCTGTCCTCCACAGTCCATTTCACATCCATTACCACAGCATTTTAAGCATTTTTCAAACACTGATGTAAAACCAGCCAAACAGGAGAGTTGAGCTTAAATTCCTTACATACCTGTTTTAAGAGAAGCTAGTATCAGGGATTGTGTGGATGAAAGCCACAGTGCACTGACATACTGTAGCTATAACAAATTTCCTGTTGTTATTACAACAATAACTTGCGACAGAGAAGTGCCAGGTAAAGATATAAGAGCTAGGCCTAAAAGGTGAAGGTTACTGCAATAAACAAGATTGGTGCATAATCCTGAGCAAGATGGAGGAAATGGAGCTGTGATTTAGGGAGAAAGAGGGGGAGTTGAAGTGTTAGTGGAGGAATAAATGGAAGCCGTTTGAGTGGAGGAGTTTTATTAATGGTATATCCATCTCAGAAAAGGCCAGTCCATAGCACACCAAAGACCTGTCATTAAGACTGAGAGACATGGCTTCCCGCTGATGGCCAACAGACACAGCAGACACATATTGAAAAGGTGGAGGAGACGGGGGAAAGTATAGTACTGGTGTGTGCCTTTGTGTTGGTGAATATGGTATTGTGAGACGAGTGACACGGAAGTGTGTTTTTTAATGACTCTGTCTATCATTCCTTCCAGTTGGCAGTAGGTTTCAGGGTTATTGTGTGTCAGGGGGGTTATTAATTTTGTAACACAGTTCAGTGGTCAACTCTTGTCCCGCACTATTCTTAGAAATGACTCGATGGATATGGAAGCACTGAGCTCACTGAGGAAAAGCTATGTTCGTTGCACTTGTTGAAAAAGGAATATATACTTTTGCATATTGCTACTAATATCTGAAAAAAGTGAATCAGGATCACAGTTTTTCAGGATTACATATATCAGAATGATACTGATTTTTTAGCTTTTGTCTTGTTAACCATAGTTCCTGGGGCTCCTCCAAGGCGGGTAGAGGTGGAGGTTCTCAACTCCACAGCACTAAAGGTGATGTGGCGCTCCCTGACACCAGGCAAGCAGCACGGTCAGATCCGTGGTTACCAAGTTCATTATGTACGCGTGGAAAACGGCGAGTCAAGAGGCCTGCCCCTCATCAAGGATGTCATGCTAGCTGATGCCCAGGTAACAATATCTTACAGCTTTCTAAATACAAATCTGTTATGTTAGATTAAATGTAACCTCCACCACAGATCATGCTTGCGCAAATGCATCAGAGCAGTTTTTGCAATTGCAAATAAGATCTGCCTTTGAATCTATTTTTAAATCATGATACAGAGTGACTAATCAATTACAGTAAACCGGTTGAAACAGCAGTGCTACACCAACGTAATGATTAAAACCTCAGTGAACAGTTCAAAGAAACTTTGCCCAACTTTTTTCTCACTGCAAAACATTGACTTCATCCCCACTTGTTGTGACTGTGGCTGGAGTATGGGAAGTGATACGGGTGCTTTTTTCCTCTTGGATTTCATTTCACATTTCTATAATATTCTTTTCTCCTCAGCCCACAACAAGAACTGTAATCAAAGCTTCACTCATCTTGTCCTCCCTTTTCTGCCTCCATGACTTTTATTAGGAATGTCTAGACCCCTGCTATATGGCAACATCTGCCAAGAAATGTCTGACTGTGTGCTTGTATCAAATGCAAAGACTCAAAAGAAAATGCTGATTATACTAGTCTGTGCCTTGGAGGGAAAGTAAAATTGGCATGAAAACATTTCACCAAAAATCTTCCTCCACTGACAGCTACAATTGTAATAGAGCCCCGTGTAATAACCTTTTTTTTTTTTCCTTTTTCTAAAACTTCTGTCAACACACTGTTGGAGGAATTCTGCCAAACTGAGACTGCACAGTAGCAGTCATCCAAATGGAAATTATAGCCTTGAAGCAATAGGGTAAACAACACAGAAAAGAATAGAATAGTTGCATGCAAAGCTACATATTTTGAGAATGAATGAATCAAACTATTTTTGCACATGTATGAAGGGTCCATTCAGGCCAAATGCCACCAGTATCATGTTAACATTTTTGGCATTTACTGTAGCTGACCCACAAATCCAAAAGAGAACTGAACTTAAACAGCTTAAGATCCAAAGCAGTCCACGCACCCAGCAGTCAAACAAAAGTATCTATTTGCATATTGACCTCATCATTAAACTCACTGAGGTAGCTTGTCATTAGCTGTAACATGGTTAAACATTTCTGGGTCCCACAGGCAGACCTATACAGCTTTCAGTCTTGTTTCAGCTGCTTCTCATAACACAAGCTTAAAACAGCTTCTTTTTCTCCTGACCTCTTAAAGCCAGTGACCTATTTCTGATACCAACCCTCTGCTCCAAAACCTCTAATGCGCCTGTCTCTCATAATCCTATTTCTTCTCTTTCTTTTCCCTCTCTTAAAAAAATGTTGCTTTCTCTCCTGCACTCTCCTCTTTGGCGGGTGGGTTAGTGGGAAATGGACGATACAGCTGAATATGTGAGTATGAAGTTTTGCCTGAGTGCTTTGCATAGTTGAAAGAACAGTGGGTATTGCATCAACCTGGTCGGATTCACAGTTTACACAAACCCTTCAATTTTCTTTCAGTAAGCTTGCATAACAAAGTGACTCAAAGGTTTCACCTCAGCTCGCTGGCCAGCCAACCTCTTGACACCACTAAGGAAATGGGGACAAACTTCACTTGGCAGCTAGCTTATACAAAATGGTGGCTGATGCAATATCCACTGCCTGCTGTGACTGGAATGCTAATGATACTTGTCTTATGATGTGTGTTGTTACAATATATTTGTCTTGTGATCTGATGTTGTGTTTTTGTGTGCGTGTGTGATTTTTAAACCATATTACTTGTCTGTGTTGCCCTCACTCACTTTTTTGTATGTCTTTTATTAAAAATATTAAGACAGTAAATTTTATATCATGTATAATCCTTGAAATCATCTGTCAAATCTTAATCATATATCTGATCATCATTCACAACTTAAGAACCTTTTATTTTATTGCATTTTTTTAAATAAATTGTACTCTTATTTTGAACAGGGATTTGAAACTTTAGTCCACCTGCATTTATGTGAATATCATCTCAAGTGCAAGACAGTACTTATAGCTCATTTAGCTTTATTGACCTCTCCCATCCCTCGTCCAACAAGCCTGTTAAAAACCTCATTCTGCATTCCCTTGAAAGATTCATTAGAATTGATCGGAAGCTTTTCTTTGAAGAGGACTCAAGGAAACTTAATGGCTAAAGTAGAAGCTGACAGAGAAGGGCCAAAATGTATTCATTATGCATTTATCACAAAATTAAGTTGTTGATTAAAATATTGCTGGGGGGGTTTACTGCCATTTACATATCTACTGTCCCTCCCCTACTCTGGGAATGTACTTAATGGAATGGTCTGCCCATGACACAGGGGGAACACGTTAATTTTAATGCATGCCTTGTGAAAATTAACAGAGGAACATGAAACACTTCACTCAGATTAACATTCTGCATAAGATAGTTAGAGCTGCATGAAGTGGGAACAACCCATCAAAAATTGAAGACACCTCTTGACATTTTCCTGTTTCTGCCTCTTCCCTTGTCTACCTAAGGAAATGGTCATTGGAGGACTCAAGCCAGACACGACTTACTCCATCACGGTGGCAGCGTACACCACCAAAGGGGATGGAGCCCGGAGCAAACCCAAACTGGTGGTGACCAAAGGGGCAGGTCAGCACAAGAATAAAAAATTTATTTGCTGGTTTAGACGTACAACCTTTGTTTAATAAAGATAGCTATTCTTTTTCAGCCTGTGGCTAAAGGAAAGCTTGCTTGGGGGTTCTTCATCATTCCTATTCAGCTGTTATTGCCATCTCTGTATTTGATTAACAGCATTGAAGGGGCCCTCATTTGCAGCCATGGTGTAGTGATTTTATCTCATTCAAACATGGCTGGAAGATTTGGACAAAAAAACAGTCATGAGCAAATGCAGGAATTCCTGATATTTAATTGAGTGCATCCTTATTAAAAGTATATCTTATGTCAAAACTATTGCTTAAAAAAACATTTCAGAATCATTTTCAAACATTGAATGTGATATTGTTTTCCTAATGAACCAATCTGAGGTACACATGCATAACTGGATTCAAGAACAGTTCCGTTTTAGATGGAAGATGATGGCTTCTATCAAGGCAGCTTTTATCATATGACTCATGTTCACAAGACTATCAAAAGATTTTTAGAGATCAAGGAGGTGATGCAAGGTTCTTAGAGATTTTTCAGACAGATTATGACAGCTTGAAAATCCCTGTTTGGGCTTTAAGGATAAAACACTGGAGGCTAATGCCTGCACACTACAAAGCCTTATCTTCTTCATTTTTTTTCTTGTTACCCCAGTGGATACACCAGTTTAACTGGTTTACTTGATCTTGTTTGGAGGCTAGTAGTTTAGTTACCATGAACATGAGCTAAAGCTGTGAGGGTGGCTGCCGAACAGTGTGAAAGCCTACTCTGATAGAATGTAAGGCATTAAGCCAAGACAGGAGTGTCCATTGGTGTGAGCATCTGTGTCAGTCAGCTTTGGGAGGTTTCAGAGAGCCAGTATATGCACAACAGCATACATACTTGTATACACACACAGGCATACATTTATACATGAGCACACGAAGTCTCCACACACAAATACAGTGTGTGTTGTGTCCTCCAATGTACATACATATGATCATAAAACAAAAGGCACCAACATATACTGTATATAAACAGATTCTTGCAGCCCAACACATTCAAACAAACATGGGCAAATTTCCCAAATCCTGACGTGTGTGTTACAGTTGTCAGGAAGCGTGATGATGCCAAGGGGGCTTGATTGAGTGCTGTCACTCTCCATCCTTCTTTCAGGGCTGGATGACTGAAATGCCAGACTGGTGTGCTCTGGCTGTCTCTCAGAGGAAAAGACGCTCCTTTATTTAGTGAAGTGTAAAGAAATGGGTTTATACCAGTGGGGCAAGAGAAATAGAAAAGAGGAAGGGGTCAGTAGTAGGTAGAAGACTAGCCCCAGCATTTTCAGAGCTGAAGTGGTTGTTCTTGTTATGAGGGATGTTAAGATGGCACAGTGAATAGCTGGGTCCCCACTAGTTATGGGGTTTCTACAAAACCATAGAATTTTCTGAGATCTGTATCAGACAAAAAACAAAAGTGATTTTGTTTTACTGTATGTTCTGGATGTATGAAATGTCATAATGTTTAAACATTTTGTTTACTTGTCAGAAAGTGGCCAAAATGTCGGCTTTAGAGCATTTCCAAGTTGTAAAAAAACATGATCAGCAAAAATACATGACAATCATCAAATTATAAATGTATTCTACAGCTAGACTTGTTGAATGGTACACTAATATCAGAATAAGACCTTTATACTCTGCTGGCTGAAATACTAAATTTAAATGTAAAATTATTTCATTTATATGTGGTTTGGCCCGTTTTCACTGATTCTGTACTACGCCCCCATACAGGTTATCTACTGTATGATGTGTTGTTGTTCTTCACCATACAAAATGATGTTTAAATTTCTTCTGCAAAACCACTCTTTCAAGTGGTTTAGCCTTGTGTAACCTCACATATAAACTGATACACTTTACAAGTGTGATGCAAGTAAATGAAATGTTGAGAAACATTAGTGCTTTTGCATATATGCACTTTAAAAACAAACATAACTTATGAAACAGCTCTTATAACCAATTTTTTCAGGCGAATACGCACTTTATGGCAGTAACTGAAACTATGACGTCACTGTCTTATCTTTTTTAGAAAACAAAAAGGCCTTAAAAGTGGCATCAACACAGAACACTGTGGCACAGACAGCATGTTTTCATGCCACTTAAAAGTTGATTCACATCAGTGACTGGGTCTTTTCATATTCCAGACATTTCCACAAGTCTCTCTGGTGGTTTGCTCTATCAGAAAGTATTCAAAAGAATCTATGTCTGGATTTTCTAGGATATAAAAAGAAGTAGAACTGCACATCTTATTGTGAGTCACAGGCAAGCAGCATTTATTCTGTGGCTGTAACTGTCTTTGTTTACTGAATGAAAGCTGGGTTTGAAAAGTTCCTTTTCATGATTCAAACTTGCCAGTCTGTCCCTGTGAAGAACAAACTTAACCAGTGCCAATGAGAGACAGTTCTTTGAGAGGACCAAAAAGGAGTCCTTATTGACAAAAGTAAATTTAACTAGTTGTGTCTGAAAGTGTTCTTCTGCCTTCCCATCTGCACGTTGAGAAGTTTTTCACTGGTCTGAAAGGGGCGGCAATCAACAACCATCCTTTTATCTCCTTTTCTTGATCAGGTTCAAGTGGAAAATTTGTTTATTGCTTTATTACATTGCAAACAAACTCCAAACAAAATGAAACTGCATGTTAGAAAGACACAACCTTTTACTGGCAGTCTCATTTTGTATCATCTGGAAATGGTGCAAGGCTGGCAATGATGGATAGATGGATGAAATTGCATTATGAGGTTTTATTTGTGCAGTGTAATTATGTATAATGGTTTGCATTATTCATTAATTATTTTTTTAAGTCAGAGTTGATACTTTTGATTCAGATACAATGTCACACTGTAGATAGGCAGGTACTGAAGATATCGTGAGGGTATCTTGCCCTTGGAGCATCTTGACAGCTTACAAACTCACACTGCCCAGCCTCAAAGCACTTCACTGTGATAGCAGTATCCTGTAAAAGGATGCTGAGTGATGCATGTTTGCATGTTTAAATGGGTATGGGTACTTATTTCAATGCTGACTGCAGACAGCTAACTTGAAACATTAGCCCTGGCCTGCTCATTGCATGTTTAGTAATTTCCTGATTGTTATATTGGTCCAGTGAGAAAACATCAATGTAAGGGCCTTCTCTCATTCGCATCCCTCTTTGTCTCTTTTTTCCTTGCACCTGTAATAGCTCTTGCTTTTCAATATGGGCCATGTGAAATTTGTTGCAGATTTGAATTCATGACATTTTCTGCCCTACCAATTACCCCCATTCATGAACCCTTGCCACATACACGCATGCACTTCTGTGGTAAGCAGACTAAATTAATAGCAAAGGGGAAATGATGGTAGGAGAGTGATAAGTGTGCAATGACCTTTAAGCTAAAAAACACCTCTTACCTCTCACACTTCCTTAGACATTTTAAATCAGTGAGATGCTTTTTTTCCCTGTTGTCAAGAAATGGAGCTCAAAGCAGAAAACCTTACAACTAGGGATTAGAAAGTATATGTACTATATTTGCAATTTGTTCTTTTCAGACAAGCACAAAGGTAATATGTTTGTTGGTAGGTGTACACGTGTCACGTGGACAAAAGAAAGAAGAGATGAGAATGAAACCTTGTTGGCCTTTTCCCCAATCAGACTGAGTGAGTGTCAACAGCAGGCTGTTAATACTGTGGCCTGATGAGAAACGTGCCGGGAAGCCCACATGAAAGGATTGAACCAGGTTTGACCCTGAAATGGATGCAGAGAGAGGGATGGAGTTGGGGGAGGATAACAAAGGTGTGTTGTGATTGGGCAGTGCATAAGAAGAGAAGTGAAGTAAGGGGACAGGAATAAGGGAGAGTGTTAGGGGCAGAAAAATGAATATTGCGGAGAGGAGGACAGGGACAATCGGGGTGTCCGAGAACCCCAGAATCGCTCATGCACACACAGGAATGTTTGTTTTCATTCCTTATGGGGACTTTACATTCACATACATTCATTTCCTTAAAAACCTATTCTAACATTAATCATTGCCACCATTTGTTTAACCCTTATCCTAATCTTAACCTAACACCTAACCTAATGACCCTAAAATTCAATGATTTACATGGTGGGGACTAGTATTTGGTCGCCACAAGGAAGGCAAGTCCCAAAAATGTGAGCATGTAAACAGGTTTCGGTCCCCACAGTGCAAGTAATACGAAGTACACATACACATGCTTGTACAGCTATCCTTGCGAGGACACTCAGCCTATTGAGCAGCCCTGTAAAGGTGTGTGAGAAAGTGAGGACCAGCCAACATGTCCTCATTTTCCCAAAATGTCCTTATGTTCATGGTTTAAAAATCAAGCCGGTCCTCACAAAGTATAGCCATATAACCGCACACACACATCTGTATCCTCATATCCCTGTTGGTCCTCTTTACAGCAGATTGCTTCTTGTCCCCAGTCACCTTCATCATCATTCACTCATTTTTTCACCCCCTCACCATGCCCTCGTTCTCTCTCTCATCACACTGTAGCACCACACACACAGTATGTACTCCATAAACAGCTCCCCATACCCTACACACTACCAGTGCCTACCTCTGATTCAGTACCTATGATCCCTTTCCCCAGTGTACAATAGGCCAGTGTTTTAAATGTTCAGATAGCAAAATAGTTTCAGGGCTACACAGGTTGCAATAGATGCATTTGGTACCCTGTTGAGGTTAGAAGAAAAGCACAGATATTTAGTAATGGGGAACACACTCACTCCCAGTCATCACAGGATCATTACCTCAGATTCTATTTCCTTGATTAGCGGTATCCATGAAGGCAGAGTGGGCTTTAAATGACACCAAGCTGAGTTAGAGTTTGTAGTTGAGGTGTATTAGGAGCATTTGTTTCACCCAACACTCGGCGCCCCCGTCTTCCCATTACCGGCAAAGGCTCAGCTGACCAGCCACCATCTACCCATCCACCCCCGTCTTCCTCTAGCAGTAGTCATCGGAAAGAAGACCATTAGCAAACGGAAATGAAATAATACAAGTAGAGGGAGGAGACTCTGTAAAGTGGATTGCTTTGTGTGTGTGTGTTTTTACCACACGCACATTAAGACTTGCATCCTGCCTGGCACAGAAATATACACTATATGTAGGCACATGCACACAGATACACAAATGCGCAATGTTACCTTTCCACTGAGATGGTGTACTGTTGCTGCAGACTAATGTTAGCTTCTCCAAATTACTTTAAGTCCATACTGGGAAAAAAGCCAAATAGTTATGTGTGCAGCTGGAACGGTGATATATGGCAGGAAATTGAGATGGCTGCAGCACAGTGCCCATACCATCACACAAACAAATACACACATGTATACGTTTATGCACAAAGATACAGTCAAGCAGATGTACATAGGACACATTGTAGGAAAAAAAACAGCTCAGAAAGAGGCTCCAATTTAAATTCATGTAGTGTAATGGTTAAGCTTTGGTGATTAAGAAGACAAATGTATCCATAATCATGGCTCCTTAAGATAATGATAAAATGTTAGACATTAAACTAGAGTTAATAATTTGCATTGAGCTTATTCAGCATTATTATGCTGAGAAAGCACTCACTGCCAGGACCAGCCAATTTACTGCCAATGTCACGATTTGAATAATTTAAAATTGAACCCAAATGCAGACAAAGGAAGAAAGATGTGGCAAAGGGGAAACGGAGTTTTATTAAAGACCTTTAAACAACTTGGTGAACACAAAGTCAGATACTGAGACAGAGAAGCAAGAGTATGATGTAAAACATGATGCAGGTTTTAACAAGAGTGACCTCAGGCTTAACACAAGATTTACAATACATGGAGAGACTAAGGTTCAGAGAATATTCAAACTAGTAAATGCAAAAAACTAAACGAGGCTCTACTAAAGAGCAGTTGCTAAAAAGTACATACAACAACCGTGAAAACCAAAAACAAAGAAAGAGTTTAATAAACTGCTCAAAACAAATTTCCTCAAAGACAGCAAAGAGAAAACACAAGCAGCAGTACAGTAAGAATAACTTAACTGGCTTGAAAAAACAGGGACCAAATGGAAACCAACATTAGAAGACACAGTTGACTATATTCAAGAGCATAGTAAACACAGAACTAGAAGTAAAGTTGCTGACCAAAACAAGTCTTTACATGAAATAGGAAACTGAATGCTGACTGGAATCTACAAGAGGGAAAAGTGTCCATAAACCATGATCACAGGCAAGGGTTCAGTCCAGCAGCATGGAGTATAAAGGGCAGAAACATGAATGCTGGACCAAGATGTAGGAGAGTTACACTAGGAGTTTCTTGGATGAAGCCATCTGGCAGCTAGGAGACAGCAGCTGAGGGCTTTAGCATAGTCATTTGATTACTGGCAGGAGGCAGGTGAGGGTGATCAGAGCAGATTATGAGCATGGTAATGCTGGAAACAGGGGTCAGACTGGGAAGGAGAAGTACACCAAAATAAAAGCCTTAAAGGAAGTCTATGGAGCTGTGACAACTGATCCAGTTTGCCACCTCAACTGGCAAAATTTTTGAATCATAACTATACAGATAGCCAGTCCACAACCTCATGGGGTGGCATGAATGGTAAATAAACTTAAAATGTTGTATTACCATACTACCTGTTTTATATTATTTGTGCAGTCAGTTTTATAATACATACAGCCACATACAAACCACATTATTTGCAGTAGAGTACTGTATATCACCAATAGTGCATGTCATATGTCTGAAATTGTAACCCCACTTCTATTATCTGTTTTGCCACTGTGTTATATTTTTGATAAATGAGGCACATAGATAAGTGAGTCAAGATCTAGTCTATTTACAGAGAAATGGGCCTCAAGTGCAAATCAGTTACACTCGTCTTTCAACAAAGCTTTGACAGCAACTTGAGAACTGAAGCCTTCCCATAACTGCTGCTGCCTCTATCACACTGATGGAGCCTTAAAAGGAGGGTTAAGATGAGACATGTGTCACCCATAAGAACAACAAAACTGGGCCACTCTGAAGGATGGAGTCTAGAACCAAACAAAATCATCTATTTTAAAAGAGCAGGACTCAAACAGCTAATAGAAGCATTTTTTTCTCTTCTTAATATTTAAGTGATATTTTGCAGAATAGAAATGCTTTTGGCTAGAAATGGGAAATAGGAATGAAAATGGTTACAATGATCACTCAAGAATTTGGAGGCTAAGAGGATCTTCCACAGCACAACATGACTCACTTTGTTTATTGTGTTACAGATGTCCATTTTAACATAGCATACAGTGTAATCAGACAAGTCAAATGTAGGTGCTGGTTTTCTAAACGCTAAATTAATGCTTCAGTGGTATACTGCTGGAATTAATAACAACAATTGCTTTAGTGCCTAATTAATTAGCTAAACAGCACAACATCCATCTATCCATCCATTTTCCTCTGCTTATCCGGAACCAGGTCACGGGGGCAGCAGTCTAAGCAAAGATACCCAGACTTCCCTCTCTCCACTCAGTGCACTTTAGCATTGTGCTACTAATGAAACATACACACTTCAGTTATGAGCTGTTATTAGCTGTCTGGTTCTGAGCTATAGTTTACTTCATAATGCAGGAAGGAACAGAAATCAACTAGTCATGTTTATAAAAAGATTTACTAAATTTTGAGGTTTTGCTGACCTTTGGCAAGAACCCGTGGAATGAATGGGATAAAAAACATGGTGTTTGCAAAGTATTCATCCAGATATACTGTAATTGGAAAGCATAGAAATGTATTTTCCTTTTATTGAATTTATTTTAATTTTATTTCTTTTTCTGTACAGTGCCTGGTCCACCCTACCTGTCAGTGGCTCAGGACTCACAAACATCAGCTGTGGTTCGCTGGGACCCTCCAAACCTGACCAATGGCATGGACCTACAAGGTTACCGGCTCCAGTTTGGCCGTAATGATGTCTCTCCTTTGGCCACACTGGAATTTGCTCCCCAAGAACGACAGTACTCTGTGGGCAACATTCACCGAGGGGCCATTTATCTCTTTAAAATCTCAGCCAAGAGCAGGGGGGGCTTTGGGGAAGAGGCTGTGGTGGAACTCACTGTACCCGAGAATACACCAGGGGGATATCCTCAAATTAACGAGGGCTCCAATGTGACATGCTGCTCAGTGCAGCTGTCCTGGTCTCCACCAGTGTTGGCAGAGAGGAATGGGGTAATCACAGAGTACACATTGGCCTATAAAGAAGCTGGTTCTGGAGGAGCACCACGGGAGCTCCGCTTGCCCCCCAACCTATCCAGCTTTGTGCTCAACAGCCTCAAACCGGATGCCGCATACGATGTGAAAATACGTGCACACACCAGTGTAGGTCCAGGGCCCTACAGCCCGCCTATCCAGTATCGGACAGTGGCCTATGATCCAACAGGTAGGGCTTGCCTGTTTCTTTCAGAACCTGGTTGGCAGGGGGTTGGAAATTGGCTAAAAACAATCTGCAACAACACAAAAATGAAAACTGCTTCACCCCCTCTTACAACCACCTCAACTTCTCCTCGGGAAAGAGAAAAGGTTGATATTTAAATTGTTTGCCTGGGATACTCACTTCACTAACCCAAACAAGGTAAAACCCAAGTCAGTAAGTTATAGTCAGTCATCTTGAGAAAGAGGAGAGCAGCCTAGAATTTCAAGGTAAGTGCTGTTTGGTCAAACCTTCCTGTAAGTCATCCTTACAGCCTGTTGCCAGGCACACTCATGTAACTAATGCCAACTCACATCCCCAGTTTTCAAACAAGGTAGGACCTCAGTCAAACCCAGTCAGTCTAATATTATGTTTGGATTATTTTAAGATGACATAAAACAGGTGTTAGGTCTTTATTTTATTTTTGGTTTTGGGTTTGTTTTGAAATATTTCTCCCTTCCTTTCTTATTTCCCCCTTACCCCTTACCCTGTCCCTTAATTGGACAGCTTGTGGCATGGCATCCCCCTGATGCACCGCTAAGGACTACTGGCATGCTGTGTTTTGGGTCTGTCTTGATGCCCGCCTGGCAGCACGTTGGCAGTGCCACCCGAGACTCAGTAGCAGTGTATGAGCACTTGTCATTTGGACCACATGGGTTAGGTGTTAATCCTCAAAAGGTCATTGGTTCAAAGGCAGTGGAGAGGCGGGATGGCACTACCCACGATAGCTAGCCAGTGGGTGCACCTTTGTGCTCCATGGGTTTGTCATCCATGAGTCTTACATGGTGTGTGTCTTAACCAATGGCGTTGCCCTTCACAGCCAATCACAGCTCACCGGTGCACTCGCTCTCCAACCCAGAGGAACGTTGCAGGGGAACAACAGCTTTTTTAAACTGAATATTTTTCATTTGCTTTTTTTTTCTTTGGTCTCTCTACATAATCAAATTGCTGAAGATACACTCTGGTTTTTCTTTTCTTGCACCTTGTTACTCAACAGATGTCCCAAAGAATTTCACTGTCAAGTGGGCTACCAAGACCACAGTGGTCCTTGCATGGAAGTTTTCTGAAAGCAGGTCTCCATACAAGTGCACAGTAAGTTTAATGTGGGATGAAGTAAAAAAAAAAAAAAAAAAAGCACTCATTTCCTACATAGCTATTCCTTATGTTATCATTAAAATGCACATCCATCTTTACCTATATCTGCTTACCTGAACATTCATGTCTATTGAACCACCAATCTATTGACCTACCAGAATAATCACACATTCAACTATCTCACCTACAAATACTTGCATGTATTGAACCTCTAGATTGAGTACAACCGTCTGAAGATGGACGTGGATGCCAGGCAGATGAGGGTGCTCGTCACTGGGTTAAGGCACAACACCACCTACGAGTTCGGGGTGACCTGCCAAGAAAGCATGGACGGTGGGCAAAGACACCGTGTGGTGGCCAGGACCGCACCACTCATTCTGGTCAAGAAACCAAAGCTGGACATCTACGCTGAGCCTGACAATGTGCTCACCATGTCCTTTCCACCAATTGAAACCAAGGATGTCAAGTTAGTATAGCATGCTGGAAGATGAGCTTTGTAAGCTTTCTCTGAATTACTTTTGAGGGTTTAAGTTTTGAGATGCTTGCAGTCTGATGTGGGCTGCATTGAGATCTCAGATGGTCTGAGATGTGTTGAAATTGGAGTTTAAGTCTCTGACCAGAAACCCTTTGCAAGTGCTGAATTATCTCTTCAATTACCTTTCAAGCCTATGGTGAATGTTGGTCTTTTTTTGTAATTTAATTATGTGCTATGTTCTCAGGAACTTCTATGTGGTAGTGGTGCCACTTAGGAGGACCTCAGGAACTGTTAAAAACTTAAAGAACCCCGATGAGATGGACATGGAAGAGGTAGGTTCTGTTAACAGCAAGAGTTCTAAGGTTATTCTGGCACTCAAAAAGCAACAGAGTCAAACAAAATACATACAGTTTGAACATTAATATGAGGAGGTGATGTCAGATCTTCAGAAACACTTTATGATGACACTGACCTCTTTCCTCACTTATGTTAAAACAGTTTCCAGAGACACATGTTCGTGTTGCCAACAGTTGCATGTGCTAGAAAAATCATATTGTACTCACCATGTACAAGAGATGAGTATACGCAATCCAAATGTCACTGTATCTCAGCTATAATAATATATACCGCCAAGCATGCAGCAGAGAGAATTATGCAGTCTTCTCTCACTCTTCCCATAGCCTGGGGTCACCTTGAGTGCCAGATCAACAGAAACCATCCCTATTGGACTTAGGATTACACACATTTCCTCTGCTTAGGCCCTACCTCTGTCTGCAGTTTGAAATGAATGAGAGGGGTTGGATGTTGAAAGGGGTTAGAGCCTGGTTAAATGGAACTCTTCCAGACCATTAGCAGCTATTTTTTAATCTAAGGGTAAAATTATACCTCCAGTTCAGTCAGTCTTGTGATGGGTTTCAAGCTCATGTACAGAGTAGTTATTTTATACCCATAAGTAATGTGTTTATTGAAAAAAAAGTTACAGAAATGCATTTTTTATCAGTGGGGGTAGGGGAACTAATAGCATACAATATATTTTGTGAAATAGTTTTGCTTGTTGGTGATAATTTATTTTGTGTATCTCATTTCATCATAATTGAAAGCATCTGACATCTTTGGGTTACTTAAATCTGGACACTGCAGATTAAAAAACATTTGACAATAACAAAAAACACCATTAGCTCAGATTCAGACAGTCATTTAATTTAGGGCCAATGTTGTTGAACAGGGGATACAAAAAGGAACACATAAAAAAGCACAGGTAAATTAACACCATTTTACATCAATCAGCTGTTACGAGAGGTAACTCCCAAGCGTCGTTCACGCCGTCAGCTGGCTCAGCTGGACCAGAGGAAGCCATACATCACAGCCTGCTTCAGGCAGCTGCCGTCCAGCTTCACTGTGGGATCTGACCACCGCCACAGCAGCTGTGAGAACAAGCCTCTTGAACCTAGCCAGGAGTATGTCTTTTTCCTGCTGGCTGAACTCAATGTCACTGCCGGGGTGAGTTTTATTCCTCATCTTCATCTGCACTTTTCAGCCCAGTTCAGCATAGGTCAGTTGGCTTAGTTTTTCTCCATTTCTTTTCAGCAGAGTTAATTTAATAATTCTGCTCTGTTCATTTAATTATGGCTCACTTCAGTTTTGTTCATCTGAAGCTAACACATTCAGTTCAGTTTGCTCACTTTATTCATTTTTGTCCAGTTTGTGATGTTAGTTTAGGTTCTCTCAGTTCACTCCATTTCATATCTTGTGTATACCACTCTAAATTCATGTTTCATCTCTGCTTGATTTTTTTGGTTTAGAAAATGTTTGCTACCAGTCCTTATACTGACACAGTGATGACTCCTGAGCTAGTGGTGGACCCCCTGCCAGTAGAGACCGGTGACGGACTCATATGGGTGGTGGGCCCAGTCCTGGCTGTGGTCTTCATCATCTGCATTGTCATCGCCATTCTGCTGTATAAAAAGTGAGTTGGCTTAGGAATTGCAGTGGTGCAGTGAAAGCAGGTGGACCTTCCTTTAGACCTTACTGTGTATAAATAGCGTTGTTCAACCTCAAATGATGATTGAAAATAACACTCAGGGTTAGGGTTTGTACACAGGGTACTGATGTTTTGTTTTATTCTGGAAAGGCATTTTAAATCCAATCATTTCACTCTTATTATGATTGTCTTATTTTTATTGTTAGAGCCTTGCTCCACTACACGACCATTTTAACTATTATCCATATTTTAGTTAATTAATGTTAAATGTGCTTTAAATTTCTCAGATTTTTTTTTTAATCCAGCAATAGAGCAACAGGCAATGAATATTTTCTAGTCATTTGATGTTGAACTGATTATTTGCAGTGTAACTTGGGGACTGGGCTATTGGAAACTAACTGCATGTTAGGGAGCATGTTGAAACAAGGGTTTATTTTGTATTCATGGCAGCATGATATTCAAAGACCCAACAACAATGTTGCATGTAAATATGACAGAGCTTTTCTTATGAAAAAAGTTGTGGGAAGTGAGGGGGTTGGAAAAAGAGGGGAAAAAAGAGATTCTTTGAGATGATGCTCAATAACTTAAGAACATTGTAATCTAACAATCAAGCGATGTCACAAATACCTATTAATCCTGGAAAGAATACTCTATAACACTGTCATTCCTATGTTACTAGTTGTTTTATTTTCCTGCTCATCATTTTGAAGGAGCGGGTGACCCTTTTTCCTAGTGTTGAACATCAAACTCTGCTTTTATGTTTAATCAACCTTATAGGAGCTATCTTCCTGTTACAAAGTCTATATCAATATACTATTCCTCCACATCCTGGGGCTTTGGAGCATACATATACAGTCAATAATTCCCCCTTGTTTTATAGTTGGTTGTTGGTTATAGCCGCAGTAACTGCAGGTCCCATCTGAGCAATGGTGACAGAAGTTTCCGGAGATCCTTGAATTATCTTAAGGAGGCAGCGCTGATGTGAGCAACACAAGTACAGCTTGCTACTGTCAGATGATCCCTGACTGTCTGACCTTGCCTTACCTTCATCTTGGTGGTTAGGGAGAGTAACATCTCTCCTTGGATCTCTCTTTTTTCTCTCTTCTCTTTCTCTCCATCTCACTCTCCCATCTCCCCTCTCCCTGGTGAATAGTGTTTCCCGTGTCTGCCCTTGGCCCTGACATTCTCTTTCCTCATCTGTAGCTGCGCCTTTGTGCACACACATAAGCTCACACACATGCAGACACAGGCTCACAAATGTGTGCACTTACTTGCATACTTCACTGAATACTCATCTGCTCGCACGCATTGATACATGTGCACACATGCACTCATACACACACAACTCCTCCAAATGCTGATGAGCATTATCTCACATTTTGCGAGCCCAGCAGTGACCCCTGTGAATTTTAAACTGCTCTCTATTGATTTATCTCTCTTCTTGCCTCCCCTTCTCCCTTTCTCCTTGTGTGTTGTGTTTTTACCATCTTTATATATTTATTTGACTTCTATTGCTTTCTCTGGAAACAGCAAACCTGACAGGTAAGGCTTAGTCGTACTTCATTGCATTTTGCAGGGGAAGAGAAAATAGCCTGCCTCAGCAAAAAAAAAAATATAAAAAAATACAATAAAAATAAAAATGCCTTTAATTAGAGAGAGTGAAGGAGAGTTTTGCAAACTTGAGACGTTCTCAACTCTCTGATTCGGTTTCGCCCGAGCTATCTCGACCCACTGAGTTGCCAGTTGGAGTTCAGGAATCGTCATTAGTGAGAGACATGACTGTTTTGCTGCATCAAGTTCTCACCAAAGGTTATTCTGTGGTTTTTGTTGTATGTCTTCTCCTTCTCCTACTCTTTGTTTGTCCTATCCCCCAGTCGCAAAAGAAAAGAGTCGGAGCCACGTACCAAGTGTCTACTGAACAACGCAGACATTACCCCCCACCACCCTACAGACCCTGTGGAGATGAGACGCATCAACTTCCAAACTCCAGGTACAGGAAGGACACACAGCATGTACACAAAGGAACAAAGACAGCCTCCCAGTAAGGCATATGCTGTATATGTATAATTGGACTAATATACTGTGTCCAGTATGTTTGGCCATATTTGTCCATACTGGCCAACACTGACAGTATGATAAATGTGAAGAAGGAAGTTTACTCATCCAGCTGTAACACTGTCAAAGACATCAGCTTCACCTTGCCTTTAAGGAATCTGTGGTAACTTGTAGTTTTCACAAATTTAAATGTGCTGGCTAGAGACTGACTATAGATTGTGAACACGCTGGACACTGTTTTATAACATTAAAAAAAAACAACATTAACCATAAATAAGTAGAAACAGAAGAATCTCTGAATTACAGACATTATATAGATTATTGACATAATAACAATTGATGTTCTTCATTCAGATCTCAAAAATGAATATTTTTGATTGTCATATAAAAGATGCCTGGTTAAAAAAAACCCCTCTAAGGCTTAGATTTCATTGGTCTAATTGAATTTCCATTCTAAAACTGTTGCAAGTGAGCAATCTTGTCAGCTATCGCTACACTGACACCGGTGAGTACATCAGGCTAATCTATATAGGTTTTATTGGGAAATAGACCAAAGTTGTAGAACAAGCTGAATTTTAAGAAGCTAATTACCCTCATAAACCATAATGGAGGTAGCTTCTACAGGCTTTTACAAGATACTATTTCAGAAGCTTTTCACATCCTTTGAAGTTCCTAGCTTTGGAACCTACTGAGATGGAAAGCAAATTAGGCAAAAAATGGCTCTAATGCAAAAATACTATTATTAGTTGCTCATAGCCAATATTGGTTTACTACTGTGTGCAAATAAAGACACACACCTGCCAAAAAAAACCTTCATTTTTGACACCAAATGATTCATTTACCATGAGAACCTTTTTATATTCAAGACAACATACATGTGCAGCTATGTTTTTAATATAATCTGCAGATGTAGTGACAGCATACTGTAACACTGGCACACAGCCTACACAGAGATGATCTGTTCCTAAATGATGCAATTTCAATATAAGCTACAGCATACCTGATGTCTATGAAGTGCTGCTATATCACTGTTTGTCTTTATGTGTCTACATAACATTCAAACCATGTTTTTTTTTCTGTTTTCCATGTCTTCATGTAACACTTAACCATGTATGAAGAACAAATAGTTAGGAAATTGCATTTGCTGTTGGACTTAATGTTGTTACCATGAAAAGAAATCCTATTTTGAAGTTCATTTGGATTTTTACCTGTCTCCTCTTTTGTCTTGCTTTCCTTCTGGTGTTCATCCGAGCAAAAGCCTGGTGTTAACAACAGAGCACATTCAATCCCACACTCATTCTCTAAGGCTTCTCCACCTTAAGCTTGTCTGACATCTTCCTCCTGTTTCCTTTTCAAACCCATTATCAGTCAGTCTGTCTTGCTGTTATCTAGCCTTCTGTAATTTAGTCTGTGATGGCATCTACAGTTTGTCTTTGGTCTGAAGCATAGTGGAACCAAAATAGCTTTTTATATTTGGTTCAGTTAAGTTTCCACCTCCCAATTAAAAGCCATGGTTTGTAAATAAAGCCACATGGATTTGACCACTTTTGGAGACCTACTATCCTGTCAGGTTATTTTGTTTTTCTTTTTGTGAAGGAGAGTTATACGTTTAGTTGTAGTCCTTGTTCGCATGTTAAAAAATTTTCATCTCTCCTGTAGGTAGTAAATTCTCCAGAAGTGGATTAAACACACCCTTCCTTGCTTCCAGAGGGTTCTTTGTTTCTTTTTCCTTCTCTCGCCCTTCTGGCTCCTAGCCTAGTTGTCATTCAGCCATCCATCTGTCATCCACAGCCACTTTTTGCTCTATCAAATGGCTCGTATTTCAAGATGGAGGATTTCTCCTCAGCTTCTTTGGGAGCCCAGGCATGTTGTCTTGATTTTGTATCTTGGGGGGGGGAGTACGACTTATTTACATCAGTGAAGAGAGATTTTAGGATGAAAGGACAGAAATGTAGAAGCATAATTTGCAGTCCTCATCTTTATCTTGCTTGGCATTCAGAGACCAATCAGTGGTTTTCTAATGAGAGGCTTAAAATGGCTATTCTCACTATTTGTCTCTCTGACTTCCAGTGCTTTCTGCCATGCCCTCAACTGTTCTCCTCCCTTTTTTTAAATAATAGAAGCTCTTGTTACAATCTCTTGTTCTCTTTTATATAGCATTCACCAATATGGTACATCTTGAGTTTTCTCTTTATATATGACAAGCATTCTCATTTAACAGCCGTGTCATTGTTCCACAAAATTAGACAGTGTCATTATCTGTTCACCCGGGGAATTTAATTTGAATGGACATTTTAGCCCAATTAAGTGGGCTGGTGAGCATTTGTGAACATCCCCAGCCGCTATTAGCAACCATTGTTCAAATGGGCATACTCCCAGTGCACTTATCTGAGGCCTCTCCAATCCAGCAGAGCATATGTCACATCGGCAGTGTGCGCTCAATGACCCCTAGTTCTAGGAAGCAAAAAATATGCTTTTGATTAGGCGTCCCCTAAGCTCAGCTTGGCGGATGCATTTGAGAGGGTGTGTTTGTAAATTGTGCATGTTTTAAAGTCTGTAGGTCATGTGACAGCCCCACAGTGACATCCCATATCTCTTTGGGGCATAGAGTAGCTAATTTTGCCATTATCTTCATTGGTGCCTGGGGTTTAATTGGCAAATGGGACTAAAGTAATGAAGCATCACGACTCACTAGATCTCTGCTGTCTGTGTCCAATCAAGCCCCCAACACCCACCCCACCAAGCTATAAGTACTAATTCTTTTCTCTTCATCATTTATTTTTCACTTTCTTCCCTTTTCTCTTTCTCATTTTTTCTACTCTTCCCAATTTTGCAGTTAAGAACCTGGTATACTACGTATGGCACTTCACACCCCCATAATTTTGTCAGAATTGACTTCCACATCTAAGCATATATAATTCTAATATTTTCACACAGACAGCGGCACATTCTTCCACAGAATTCACAAACACCAGTCAATTGTTCGCATGCATCTAGTGGCTGACTTGTTTTGCCAGATTACAGCAACAACCAAGCCCTTCTCCTCACAAACAGTTTTATTAAACACACACACAAATGCAGCAAACACTTACACATAAATATACAGACACGCAGACGCGCTTGTACATCCCTCCTGCCGTGATGAATGACATTTAGAGACAGTAGATCAGAGTACCGCCCGCTAGGTTTAATTAGTCATTGTCACAAATCAATTAGGGAGAGGAGGGTGGCCAACGTCTTCATATCTCTGCACTCATTTGGCGCACATCCTACAGCACATCCTAATCGAGTTAGAATTTTTTTTTTTTTTTAAATACAATTAAAATGACAATTTATTTTGACTTCTAGATGGGAATGCTACCCCTCTTTCTGGTATATCACAGAAGAGTTGTTTAATGTTTTTGTGGCCAGATTTTTTTGGGAGTACAATGTTTCTATAAGAAAGGACTGCTTTTTTTGTCCCCAAGTCATATTTCCTTTTCCTTCCATTTCTCACTTATAGTTCTGGAACAAATTTTCCTCTTTTCTATGGATCAGAGTTTCCATCGTTGGGTGATGTGATCCCCACTTATCTCTGAGTGACCCTGTTGATCTGATTTCAGTTTGCACCCGTGGGAAAAAAATTATTTTCCTTCACGTGACTGGCATGTTGACCGCATCCCATCAAAAGCATCTCTTAACCTCATGTCCAGTTAAAGTCGTCGCAGATGGCTTTTTTCTGCTTGAACAGCTCAGGAGACCCGAGTCTTTCCGGACATACCATTGACTGGCTGCGGCCTCAGAGACTTCTCCTCTGGAGCAGATAAGACTTTGAACCATCATCACACTCCTCAGAGCTCAAATCAGCTCTGGCTCCACAGCTGTCAGCCAGAAATATGGACACTTTTCCACACCTTTCACTCTCTGTGCCTCAGCAACAAGCCATGGACAAAGAAACCTTTTAAAGTCAGTTTTCACCAGGAAACATAAGCAGGTTTTCTTTTTTTTTATTCCTGTCAAGAGTGTTTATGAAAGCTAACAGAGATCACAAATCAGTTTTCTTATCCTGATCTCTATGAGCATTAATATGGGACTTGGCAGAAGAGGCTTCTCAGCAGAGCAGCAGATGCTGATGCCCATGGCTTACCACTGCGCTTCTGAGGAGGACTGTGGCACTGACTGGGATTTGGTAGCAGAAGTGTAGGTCAGGTCTGATCTGAAAATGTTTGCCCTATGTTTTCATGTCTGTGTGGCACCATGAGCTCAAATCTGTCAGTCCACCCTGAGAGTTGCCTGAGTAAATTGCCTTTGTGTTTTATTTCTTGGCCATTTATCATTTTCTATCTTTTTTTTTTATTTACAAGCCTTTTCTGTTGCATTCCAGCCTTTTGAAACTATTTTCCTTGTTTGCTGTTCTTCACAGATTCTGGTCTAAGCAGTCCTCAGAGTGAAGCCGATTTTGACTATGAAAGTTAGTCTCTGCGCTTTTAGTATTTGCTTACCAGCTGTCCTTTTAAAAAATTTTCAAGCACCGCTTGCCTCCATTTACAAACACATAATTTGCATTTGTATGTTTTTTCACATGATGCAGCAAAATTTAAGCACTAATTAATTTGATGTTGGTTTATATCAGTACACTGGGTTTTTTTTTGTCTTTAATTGGATGTCACTCACGATATTCACTTGGGCTGTTGGCTGTGCATTAATCCACCATGCATAAATAACCTGTGCGATCACTTGTGCTGATAAAGACGTGGTTGAGAGGTTGTTTTTTTTTAAAGGTGTACAATCTCTGTTATGCCTCTTTCACTTCCTCCCCTTCATCAACTCCTTCTTGTGGTTTTCCCTTCTCTTCCCTCTTCCTCCTCCTCCTTCACCACCACTGCTCCATTTTCATTCTGAACTAACGGGATCTTTTCTGTGCTCGGAGATAACGAGCAGAATTAATTAAAGTGGTGGCAAACAATGGCTCAACATTTGATCACCCTGCTCTCGCCCTACTCGCTGCCAAAGGATCATCTGAGAGAAAGAGAGTTTCTGGTTTTCCTCTTCCCCCATTTTCCTCCCATTGTTTTCTTTTCTTACCCACTGATAGACTGTTTCCCTTTTATATGGAAATGAGCAACATCATAAATAAGCTTTCTGAAAGAGACTGGTTTAGCTTATCACATAGAATCATTATATTTCTCAGGCGCATGGATTGCAGATCGGGAGATTGGAAATGTGTAATTAGACGCTAGTTTATTTTTCTGTGTTCACTGATCGTGCTGTTGATTGTGGTGGAAGAAAAAATGGAAGAGTCTGTATGTGGATAGAAAAAAGCTATGAATGAACACAGTCGTACTGAAGTGAAGGATGAGAGCTCTGGAGTTGGGGTAGGAAATAAAAGCGATTGGTCCTTGAGTGACTTTGGTCGGTCACGGGTCACAGCAAAAGACAAATCTTTTCTTGGATAAACACTGTAATGTGTGAGGTAGTTTATAAATGACAAAATAAATAAGAGAACAAATCAGGCAAGATTGACTCATTTGTCTTCAGAGAAAAAAAAACAAATGGGTGAGGTTGGAAAAGAACACTGAAAGGGAGAAGCAGACACAAAACAGATTAATTTAGCTTGGTAAACACGACAACTTCAAGCAATCGGTGATGTTGGCAAAGGGCAATTTGGGATAAAGATAAAATTGTGGATTTACAGTATTCAAAGTGTTTTCATGCAAGTTCTCAAAACATTGAACCAAAGTTTGAAGGAATAGACAAACACTGTCATGTACAGTATAACCTTCAGCCTATCTCACTGACAGTGCATTGTGTTTAATACGTAAACACTTTGGCCTATATCTCTTTCTAACCACAGAAGAAACTTAAACATACAGACAGTAATGTGGGTAGTAAACACAAAGTGAAAGGAACTGATGGAGTCTGAGTATGTCTGTAACTCATGCACATAGGGTAAACCACACAAAATCGGCACAAACATTCTTTGATCTCCCCTCAAACAATCCGCTCCTGTTCACTCAAGGAGAAGTCAGGGCCCCTCATTTGCATATGCATTTACTTATTTTGCTTCTGATACATTTTCTCTTTCAATTTGGGGCAAGTAAACTGACAACCCAATTTAATTTGAAATATTTCCCCCTTTTTTTATGCTCATTTCAATGAATCCCCCGCCAGAGGTGATTATAACTCATTCTCAATTGGTGTCACCTCAGGCATTTTGCTTTAATACCTCACTGAGAATCTGAAGTATGAAAATGTAAAGACACAGTCCTGTCCAAACATGTTAATATAATTTGGTTTCACCAATTACCTTCCAGGATTTTTTTATTTTTGTTTATTATGAAAATTTTAACTAAATTAAATATAGGCTTTAAAAAATAAATTTGCACAATTAATTAAGTAAACATGATTTTAATGATCTATTAAGAAGGGCATAGGTGTTTGTTGCGATTCTTATTCAGTTAAAGCAGCATGTCCGTTCATTGAGAATGTTGCACCATCCGGTATCATCTCCATTTGTGTCTCATATGTATTGTAATCTTTGTTAATCTTCATGTAAGTGACACCCTGCCACATTGTTCTTTCAGTGTAACCTTAATTACCAGTACTAATGCAGACTGTCAGCACAGAGAACCCCCCCCCCCACCACCACCACCCCCAAGTGCAACAAAAGCAGCCGAAATATTGGTGACCCCTTTGACATTAGAGGGATATTAAGCATTGTCCCAAAAAGGAAAATGAAGGATGGCTAATGTGATTATGCTGATTTGCATGCCCAATTAAGCCTGGGTAACTTTTTGTGTGAAGAGTGTTGACATTTTGTCAACCTTTGACCTCATCACTTGGCAGGAAAAGAGGCCACTTACTAACAATAAAAGTATTGCCAGGCTCCATGCAGATGGAGGGGTCACAATCTATGGCTGCTCCATATTCCATTACATGGCCTCAGCTTTATGCTCCTAAATGGATTAGTGACTGGAGTGCACAGCAGTGCTGATAATATTGTAGCAGAAATTCAGTAGATATTGGCATGGGCAAAGAAAAAAAATTCCTTAGGATAAGTGGCAGACAGATTTGGGAGGAGAACATTTTGGACATGCAAGCGATAATGCCTTACTGTGATTTTGAAAGGTAAGGGGTGTCCATCTACAGTAGCAGTCAGTACTCTCTGGGTTTAGGGAAGCAGCAGATGGAGAAAAGGTTAGAAAAGAGCAGCTTGGTTACTTTGCATTGGATGGCTATAATGGAGCAGCCCACTGAGTCACTCAGCATCACTCACACTCCTAAACCTCTTTATCCCATTCTCACCTCCCTTCCTATGAGACCCCAGGTCAGGGCTCTATTCTAGATTAAACACTTTTTTATAGAGGCAACAGTCAAAATTGATCCCTATGTTAACAACACAGTACAACAAGAGCTTTACAGATACAGTGAAAGCAGGTGCGTGGGATATGCTGGGTCTGATTTGGAGCATAAGACTTTCATAGCTTCTTCCTCATCTTTCTTTTTGATTGAGGGTATTGCTGAATGTAAATAATAATATACAGTATTAATCTATACCCAAAAAGAGGTAACTACTGGACGTTGATGTAAGATCTGCTTAAAGTAAAACCATCCTTAAACACGTTTCTATTGCACAGTTGTTTTTTCACCTACTAGTGATCCTTTGTTTTACTTTCCTCTTTTTTGTTAGTAGCAGCCATGCTTCAAGTAAAATGTTACTTTTTTATCATCTTAAAAGATGTGTTTAAGGGATTTAAGTGAAAATAAGCTTTCCACTGAGTCTGTTGTATTTCTCATCTGTGATTCTTCTATCAAATTCAAACATGTTCATCTTAAGTTATTTTTTGCAAATTTTTCAGGCTTTTAAAAATTATTGATATCTCTGAATGTTTGAGTCATAATTGGCATTTGTTCCTATTGGTTAGTCTGTCCACATCTTGACCACTGTGGGAATTAAAGGTGCAGTGTGTAAGATCTAGAAGGATTTATCATTTAGTAGGAACGGGCTATAGTATGCATAATTGTGTTTTCATTAATGTATAATAAACAGAAAATAAGAATTGTTGTGTTTTCTTTTGCTTAGAATGAGCCTTTTTTTTTACAGTAGCCCAGAACAGACAAACCACACACAGGCTCGACAATGTGAATTTTGTCTTTGCACATCAAAGTAGCAGCTTGGATTTGGAGACACTTCCAAGACAAAAAAGAAGTAATGTTAGAAACAAGAGGAAGCATTTGTCATAAGTTTAAGAACTGTAATTTGAAAGAAAATGGAGACTCATAATTATTCTTTAACACAAGAAAAGGTAAGACAGTGTGAATCCCAGTCATCAAAGAAGCAAAGACACAAAGAAACGGGATAGATGACGGCACAAGATGAGGATAAAGCATTGGTGGGGCCTTTCGCAGTTGGAAATCCTTGATGACGGACAAATGTTTGCAGACTGATGCCAAAGTTGCCTGTTTTCTCCCGGACAGGCAATTTAGCCTAACAAGTAGAGGTAACCTAAATGCAAGTTTTTGTTTGATAGCTTTAGCTAGAACATGGCTAGGGCTGAGTAAAACTCTGTGGTCAAATGAGCCGCCATGCACTTCCGAGTGTGCAATTTGTCCTGTATTTATGCTAATCGTTTTGAGGGCTGTTTAACATGATGTATGAGAGCTTTGCTCTATGTTGCAATCTGCAACCTCACCGCTAGATGTCACTGAATCTCACACACTGCACCTTTAACATAATTTGGTCTGGGAGCTTATGCTACTGTCTTCTTGCTTCACAAACGTAGCTGTCTTTGAGCTCTGGCCTGGTCCATTCAAGAACCTATAACACCACTTGTCAGTTTATGTTGCTGTGTGTGACAGTCACTGTTCTACACAAGCTTCCTTACTTCACTAAAACCCAACGTCCATTATTATGTAAGCAAGAAATTCTCACCTGTGAATTGTGTGTTGTCTTATTTTAAAACAACACACATTACATTTTAAGCCTCTGTCTTGCCTACTGTACTAATGAATTTTCCTTCCTTTCTTCCCCTGTGTGGAATTTTTCTCAATTTGTGGTGGGCAGGTATGATGAATCATCCTCCCATCCCTATCTCAGAGCTGGCTGAACACACAGAGCTTCTCAAGGCAAATGACAATCTCAAGCTCTCACAGGAGTATGAGGTGAGTGGGCCAAAGAATCAAAGGTCAAAGTTTCTTCTGGGTATTGATTTCTGTCTGATTGTGTTTTCATTGTCAGAAGCCCGTTTTCCTCTAGAGAAATGGCTCTGTCTCTTCTCATAAGTCTTTTTTTTCCCCTGCTTGTTGACAAGGCTGTAGCTGATGGTGCTTGTGCAATTACAAAATCTCAGTTGTGCTCTACCTTTTATTTCCTCAGATACAGACTTAACATGGCAAAGCAAGACAATAGTCA